AGAGCTCTTCATTGGCACGACTGTTAAAAAACGTTTTCTAGAATGGAAATATCCACAAAAGGACTACCATACCTGAACTTCAAATTTTATATATCTGCTCTAACTATTCATCCAATTACCTGGATACAAGGCGAAATTCACCGAATGTTTCGCATGGGCTTACGGCGAGATACGCCCCTATTGTAACAGCGACGCGTTCGCAGAAAGGGACGCGAACGGCACTGCAACATCTTGCAAGGTTAGTCATACGCTTACTTTGGTTAATACTTGGTCGAGCTAAACTGCACGTTTAGATTACGATGGCTGCCTAGTGTTTATTCCCCTTGAAATCCTTTTCCTACAACCCTGATGTGAGCGTCTGCAGCGCTTTTTTCAAAAGAAAACTTGAACCCCATTTAGCAAATCTATATGTGCTCATAGCGATTAGTTGCAAATGCTGAATGTTCCTGCAATGGGTTTGCTGGAACTCGTGAAACATGTAGTTAGTGAAAAATTGATATCTACTGAGATGTTCATCTTTCTTATGTTCCTTGAATATTTGAAACGCTAAATGTTCAGCTTTTTGCCGTAATCGCGAAAAAGGAGTGAACAGCATTTTTCTGCGCAATTTAGGAACAAGGAAATTTGCTATTTCTTATATCGAATGCTTTATCTAAAAATAACTTAACATTGATTGAACTTCCTCAGCAACAAGGATACTTTAGAAGACTTCTATACACTCAGCCCACAAGTAAAAATATCTCACTAAAAAGCTGTTTAAGCGTACGAACAGCTCTTCTCATATTTGTATGGAGAAATCCATTTTTAGGGAAGCAGAAACATGCAAATTTATACACTTTCTGCAAAGTTATGTAAGGCTCACTTGTGAGATACATCTTGCAAACTCAAAAAAATAGTAAATTTTATCTGCAGATGACTGGTTGAAAAGTATAACATGATATATTAAATCTATATCGAACGATTGCGACTACTGTCACTATGGCAAGGTATGTCTAGAATAACCCATATCTTGTCCTCGAGGCAAAGCATTGTACTTCTTTTTCCCTGAGTTTTTATTCAATTAGATTAAAGTAACTGCAGTACGGACTATTAGTCCACTTCTACTTGGTGTATTTAGCATAAATTCAATATTTATAAGATCCACGCCATATTCTAAACAAGGATTTTACAGATTTTTTTATTAACATTTAATGAAGGGCAGCAGCTCCTTGATGGTTCCTTGTTGCTATCTCTTCTCTCCAGCCAATCCCTTGTTCCAGCTCGAATCGAAAATCGCCTTCAACGTCAAACAGCAGAAGAGCCGTCGTTCGCCTGCAAACGGCGCTTGAGGAGTTCCTCGTCGCCCATACTATCCGAAGTCTGGCCGATCATGATCGCGCGCCTATACGGACTTGACACACCGGATCGCTTCCTATACGTATAGTGAGTGAACGGAACAAACCACGACATCGACGACGAACGAAACCCGGAGCAGAACACCTCGTGGTCTGCCTTACGCACCTAATCAACACGAACCGAACGTATCCTCTCAGAGAGGGTACAAAGCATTTTTGTTTTCTACGATTACTTTCCTAATTTCTATGGATACTGCATATTTGGCTACTTCCTACGCTTACGAGGACAAGGATTACTTCGAACAAAGCGTTTCTGTATTACCGACACCATCCTGTTTTCAACAGCCTCAACATGGACATCTTTATCCTATTGTACCTCAACCCTTACCAATACATGGTGGAACACAATTAACGGTCAGTTTTTACACTACTTTTAGTTCCACATTCCTATGATACTTCGAAATATGGAGTTCCATTAAACATCTACAATTTATACACTACTTGTTACTCAGTCATATCTTGTTCTGTAGCATGCAAATTATATGGGGCTCGGTAGCAGAAATACTCTTATCACCCGACAAGTTAGAAGAAGAAATGTGAGGATTTTTAACCGTTCAGGCTATTCGCAGTTCTAAGTTTACATACTTGGCTACTTGATAATTACCTTTTTAAAAACTTATACCCTTCTATAAGCGTAAATCGCAATTGAACTGTAAAACTCATCCCAAAGAGTTCAATATTCTTTCAAACATTTTTGCTCGCTATTTATTCGCAGTCTCTTCCCTTCTACGAGTTTCAATGTTTAATAAATATTTTTGAAGAATTATTGAACGTAGAAACCAAGAGGAATATATTGTGCGGTACCCTTTTTATTGGAAAAGTGTTTTTTTTTTTTTGGAAAATATGCATGGATAGGTTTTAATAGCAGCACCTGTTTACCCCCCGGTTTTAGCACCTGAGTAGCAGGTCAAAGCCAGTTCAAACCTATGTCTAACGCTGCTTCTTCGAGGGGAGTATAGCACAACCGCTGCACTCCCTTAAAGCTACCGTAATCCGCCTTTACCGTACCATTGCGCTCACTCTAATTTTTCATTCTAATCTTGTCCTGCAATCGTTTCACGTGGATTACGCAACACCAGCATACGGGTTCGCAAAGAGTAACAACGTAAACTCATCGCGAGAGCGTCAAACTGCTTTTCTTGATCATTTTCGATCCAACTGTCGACTGCAAATTGATTTACTCGAACGGCACATTGATCGGCGTGATGTTGCGAAGATTTCGTAACTAAAACAAAAAGAAACTCAGTCGCACTCGGTTATTTTTAGAGTGTTTGAAGGAAGGTGAGAGGTAAAAATTGAGGTGACAGTAATCTGAGTGCAACAGAATCGAAGAGAAATCAACAGCATATTCGCATAGAAGAAGTTAGTGTAAAATTCGTGCTAACCATCAGTTGACTGTGTGTTAAATTGTTCATGTTTTAGAGCAACGAGCACTATGATCAACCGCTTTCCTTACAACCGTCGATGTTTTATTACGCAGCCGCAGCAGCAGCGGGACCGTCGCTAATTTCGCAACAGGAACGGCCACAGTCTACTACGCAGAATAAGACAACAGTAGAGGTTTTTAAAATATTACATATGAATAAGATTGTAAAAACTGTAGATTTACCGTAGTGTGCTGCAATCATTTAGCTCAGGAGGACCGTTTTCATAATCGCGAGCTCTAGGTCCTTTTTACCAACTTCATTAGAACGAGCTTTCAATCACCCCTCATTTTGGCGATATGCATGCTCCGAGCTGTAGCCCAAACACTTAATCAAACTTTATGATTATATGTGGTAGTAGGAGGACGATTTAGGGAGGCACGATCTCATATGACTCAACTCATACTCATGAATGTAAACATTTATCTAGTTATATTGTCATTCACAGTCTAAATTAGGCCGGCTTTCCATGAATCGTTTCGTAAGTTAAGAGGGGAAGCATCTCTTTGTTGCCAAAAAACTACAAATATGAAGGCGATTATTACAATAATCCTATCTGGAACTATGTAAGCTTATAAAGCTAACTTTGAAGTCTTTGATAGACCTCAGCAATAATATTTTGTACCTCTGAGTGACAAGATTTTTACTACTATTGATTAATAACCTCCTTCAGGTGGAGGATGATAACAGCGCCAGCTCGAACGTCAATCGTAAACGCGGTACGAAGCGTGGTCGGCCAACGAAGAATCCCGTCTGGACGTTCTTTCGCCGAATCGACGACAAGAGTGTGCAGTGCAATATGTGTGCACGGGTAGGTGTGTTAGAGAGAATGTGCGCTGAATTTGGTATTTTCTGGATAAGTTCTTCAGCTGGTCAAATCTGCTTGCGCAACAAACATGAGCAAACATCTGGAACGACATCATCAGAATGCTGCAGT